CGATTTCATACGTTATAAGACCTCCATAAAGCTAAGGCGTTATTAATTAAGCTTCTAATAAGAAAATAATAGATAAGAGAAGAGTTGCTTGCATATCAGAAGAGGACATTGCAATTAGATGTCTACCTAAGAATTCAATTAAATGAGAAAGTATTAAGCAAAATTGTTATAGACAACTAAAAAATTCAAGTTCAAGATGAAGGTAAAGCTAAAAGCTTTAAAACTAGCATTTTCCATCTTTTAACTCATTATTATAGTTTTTGTGTAAGCACATGAAAAGATGTTCTTTTTGCCAGCTAGCGTGAGTTCAAATTGAGGAATTGAATCAGTGCATGTAAATTGCGTGATATTTGCTTAACTGCCCTAAGTTTCCTCTGCAAGTTAGAACTCTGGCGTGTGACATCAAAATATAGTGACCCAACCCTAAGCCACATGGGCTCATGCTATAGGACACCCTGTCCTAAATTAATTTACAATAAAGGGGATTAACAAATAGATTCACGATTGAATCATTGATTGTCAGGAACAGGTAGGGATTACACTGGAAGTTGGCCAACAGGAACTCAATTGGAACCTGAGAATTAGACAGACAGCCTGAAGAATGTGCACGTTGGGGAAGAACTGGAATGATTCCAAATCGAAGGACTCTTGTGCACATTTGTTAGCTCAGAAACAATAACAGACAATTGTAATAAATGTTAGAGTTGGTTACAACAGTTAGAGGCGGTTATTTCTGTTGTTTGTTAGTTTGTTACAACCGTGCACGTTCTGTGCACGTTTCTGTGTTTCTTTTGTTTTGAGCGGATATAAAAGAGAGAAAGGAAACTGTAACAGATATGAATTGAATGAGAATCTTTTCTCTTAAATTCTGAATTCTAAATCTTCTTTCTTCTAACTCCTCTCTTCCTCCATTGTTACAATTCTCTATTATTTTCTGTTTTTAAATCTTGGTTATTACGACCATGGCGAGAAACAACAACTTGAGGTCTAATCGGGGTTCACGATCCTCTCAATTGGTATCAGAGCAGCAGGATGCTGAAGCTGGTGCTGATGACTTCTTGGATGATCAGGAAGGAGTTGATGTTCAAGATATTATTTCAGAGGAGAGAGTTGCTCGAATAGAGGATGCTGTTCTTCGAAATAGCTCCTTCTGCAATCAACAGAAATCATTCAACCAGAAACTCTCAGCACAGGTGAATGATCTCCAGCTCCAATTATCTTCAAAAATGGAGATTTTAATGCAAGAGATCAAGAACCTCAAGAGTCCCGACCCAGGAAATCTGGGAACTGGCTCAAGAGAGGGTAGAGAGAAAACAAGGACAGGAGCTGGGGAATCTAACAGGAATGATCAAAGCAATGGATATCTTCCTCCAAGAGAAAACAAGGACAGGAGCTGGGGAATCTAACAGGAATGATCAAAGCAATGGATATCTTCCTCCACATAGAAGAAATGTTGAATTCAGTGGAGAATTTCAATCTATTAGCAGTTTTGGTAACTCCTCAACTCAAAGAAATTCTTTCTTTAGCAATCAAAAACTTGTCCAACCCAAGTCTTTGCGTTTGGATTTTCCCTCTTTTTCTGGGGCTGAGAATGTTATAGCTTGGTTAGAACAAACTACACAAATCTTTGAATATTATGATATAAAAGAAGATGAATGGGTCAAAGTTTGTTCTTTTTACCTAAGGGATGAGGCTTTACAGTGGTATAGGTGGCTTACAAGAAATATTGAGAATTATCAGTATTGGGCTGTCTTTAAAGAGGAATTAATGACAAGATTTGGCCCCAGTGAATTGTCCAGACCATATGATGCTTTCTCAACTATGAAACAAACTTCCACTGTTAGAGAGTACCTGGGGAAATTTGAACAAACACTAGGGTTACTGGAGGATCAACCCTCTAGAAGGCACATCTTTGAGAAATTTATAGGAGGGTTGAAGGATGAACTTAGGTATGAGGTTGCAGCTGGCAGACCTTCTTCTTTGAAGGAAGCTGTGTCATTAGCCAAGCTCTTTGAAGACAAACAAAGAAATGAGAAAAGAAGTAAAGGGAACTGGAATGGTTTTAATCAAGGAAATTCATATAATCGTACCCTTCCTGAAGTGCCTGTACAAGATAAATCCAAATTTCCTCAGTTCAAGAAGCTTACACCTGAAGACATACAAAAGAAGAGGAGTCAAAATCTATGCTTTACATGTGATGAAAAGTGGCACAGAGGACATCAGTGTAAAGGTAAGCAGATATTCATCTTAGAAGGAATCTTAGAAGGAGGAACTGAGGAAGAGATAGAAGATCATGGGTGCAATGATCAAGAAGACCTGGCCATTGAATTGGCTGAAAGTCTGGTAAGAGGAGCTCCTTCTATTTCAATCCAGGCTCTTAATGGAATCACAGCCTCCCATACCATTAGAGTTGTGGGGTATTGCAAGAATCAAGCCATCAGCATCCTGATTGATTCTGGTTCTACACATAATTTCATCAATACAAAGTTAGTTAAGAGACTTGGATTACCAGTGACAGAGTATGGCAATTTTGATGTTCTCGTTGCAAGTGGAGAGTTAATTAAAGGAGATGGAGTGTGTCAGGGAGTGTCACTGGATTGTCAAGGAGTGAGCATTCAAGTAAATCTGTTAGTGATGCCATTGGGAGGTAGTCAAATTGTGTTAGGGGCAGATTGGATGAAAACTTTGGAAGATATTACTTTGAACTTTAAAAAGTTGCAGGTAACATTCTTATGTGAGGGAGTAAAGAGAACTCTACAGGGAATAGTACCAGGGGAGTTACAATTGGTTAATGAGAAAAATATTGCTAAGTCTGTTAGGGAGCAAAAAGAAGGATACTTAATTCAATTATGCAGTGTTAATTTGCAAGAACCTGTTCCTGGAGCTATTCATGGAGAATTACCTGCAGATATCCACAGCTTGGTACAAGAGTTTGATGTTATATTCCAAGAACTACCACATCTTCCTCCTGCCAGAGAGATTGATCATAAAATTCCCTTGGAAACTGGAACAAAACCAGTGTGCATTAGACCTTATAGGCATGCACATTTCTTGAAAGAAGAAATTGAGAAACAGATTGAAGAGATGCTGGAAAAAGGAATCATAAGACACAGTCATAGCCCTTTCTCCTCACCAGTAGTGATGGTAAAAAAGTCTGATGGGAGCTGGAGAATGTGTATTGATTACAGGTCCCTTAATAAAGCTACAATTAAAGACAAATTTCCTATTCCAATTATTGATGAGTTATTGGATGAGTTACATGGGACACAGTTCTTCACAAAATTGGATTTAAAATCAGGGTATCATCAAATAAGAATGTGTTTCAGACATTCCCAAAACTGCCTTTAGAACACACAGTGGGCATTTTGAGTTCTTAGTAATGCCTTTTGGACTCACCAATGCCCCTTCAACATTCCAGGCCCTAATGAATAATATTTTCAAAGATATTCTCAGAAAATTTGTTTTGGTTTTCTTTGATGATATACTAATATACAGCAGAGGGTGGCAGGATCATTTGATTCATCTGAGACAAGTATTTCAGATCCTCAAGACCCATCAA